TCACCTTTTGGTGACTGATAGGTGATTGGGCACTAGACCAAATACAGTCTATAGCGTGAGTAGAAAAGATCTCAAATGATCTTCAAAAATCCAATGGTTGGATCCGTGGATGAGGTGATGGATGTATAAGGATTGCGCACTCACCAGATACGCAATCCCAATCTCAGGACATCAAGGATCCTTATGTGGGTCTGGTCAGATCTGGTCAAATGCCCCTCACTGCTTGATAGTGCTGCCACATTTGGAAAGAGCCACTCTGCAGATGTAAATGGCTCCCACCGGAGCTCAAAGAACAAAAAGGAGGCCAGATAGTGTGATATCCTTATGACAAGGAGTGTTTATTCCAAAAAGGTACAGGTAGGAGCAAGAAAAAATACTGACCCATACAAGTATGCAAATGGCCACCGGGGCCCTCGCGGCGCCGGTCGGCGTGACGTCACACCGCTGTAGCCGCTCAGGGAAGCGAGGAAATGGCTCCTCTGCTGCCACTTCCACCAACGTCTCCTCTCTATTTGAAGAACACGAACACATGAACAGCACAGGTGTTCGGCAGGCTATTTTCCCGCAGCACACCACAGAGCACTGTGCCCTGACCACAGGTCAGGAGCAATGCTTTGACAAATTCCAATGTGTGATGACGTCACAAGGGGGTGGAGTGAACCCTGCCCCCATGTGATGTCATGACAGTATATAAGAACTGTCATCGCTGGGGACAGCTGTCAGACGGCGGGAGTCGTCGGTGTCGCAAGCGGAGCAATTTTTTTTCTTTCGTCAGATAACAGCGGTGGCGGGCATCGTGATTGATGTTGGATCTACTTTGGGGGACATTTTTTTAATTTGTATTTTTAATAAAGGACTTGTCAAAGGCTGTCTGTCTTTTTTACACTACGCTTTTTTTTTTTGCGAATGGGTAGCGGTACCATGCACCTCATACTCATTCACATGGGGGGTGTTGGGATCTGGGTAAGCCCCCCACCTGCAGGCCTCCACAACCACAGGCCATGGTTGTGGGGAAGAAGCCCTTGTCCCCATCAACATGTTCGCTTACAGTGCGTTGTGATTGGTCAAAGCAATGCACCTGACCACAGGTCACAGTGCGTGATGGTGTCAAGGGGGCAGGGTGAACCCCACCCCCTTGTGATGTCATGACAATATATAAGAACTGTCATCGCTGGTGCCGCTGTCAGACGACAGGAGCTGGCATAACAAGCAGAGTGTTTTCTTTTTCTTTTTTCGGGGGGAGCCCCCCGCCCCAAAGCACTTCCCCATGTGGCATTGTGGTGGTTATGGGTGTTGACATGTATCAGAAGGAAGTTGAGAGACATGTTTTGGATATCTCCACCTATACCAAATTAAAGCGGGATCCCACAAAAAAAATATAAAGAGTCTCTTAAAAATCTTGTTGACAAGGAAGTCCAGATTGGTATTTTCACCCAGAAGGAGGCAGATGTCCTTGTCCCCGATTTCCCTGTGCTGTCTACATTCTACCACCTACTAAAAACCCATAAAGGATTGCATCCTCTACAAGGGAGGCCCATTATTTCTGGCATTGGGTCTATAAATGAGAGATTGGGTCACTGATTGGATACACAGCTCCAGCCTCTTGTTGTACAACTTCCCAGTTATTTGGGAAACACCAATCACCTTCTCCATATTATGGATGGCATGTGCTGGGGATGAGAGTCTCATGTGCGTCACCTGTGATGTTGCCAGTTTATATTCCTCTATACCTCATCATCTTGCCATAAAAGCGACATCTTTTTATTTAGTAGTTTCAGAAAGAGCAACCACTTTAGGTAACTCTTTGTCTCCCAGCTTCTATAGTCCCACACAAGCTCAATCCACTATGGTTGCATTTCAAAAGGCAACTACTGTTGTGGTGCGCTCTCCTGTTCATGCTGTATACATATTATGAAGGGCAATACATTTCAATCTACTGTTAATAACAAAGAAAATAGTATTGCTTCATTCTTTAATTGTAATACCACCTATGTGATTTATTTGATCACTTGTAAACTTTGAAATATTCAGTATGTGGGACGCATGACCAGATGTTGAAGGGATCATTTTTATGAACATCTATATAGTATAGAAAGACATATCTCTACTAGTGTGGCCCGCCATTTCAATAATTGTCATGCAGGAGATATTACGGCAGTACAGGTACAGGTCATTGAAAAAATTAGTCCTTTAAAAAGAGGCGGTGATACGTTTTTGTGGTTATGCAAATATGCAAAAGGGAGGTATTCTGGATATTCCATCTAAATACACATGTCCCACAGGGTTTGAACCATGAATGGGATATCACATATTTTTAGGATTGTATTTTTTGTATATATTAATATTTAAATTTTGATCATTTACAAATGTGGCTTCTCAGCCCATATCATCTTGGGATATTTACTTGCTTTTATCTGTGTATGTTATTTTTATTTTACTTTTCATTTACAATTTTTTTTCATAAATTTTATTCATTCTTTCTCTTTTTATTTGTTTCTCTTTTTATTCCATTTTGTTTTCCTTTTTCTTTTTTTTCCTTCTTTGTTGTTTTCTGATATCACGGTTTTTGATACAAATGGTTTTATATGTTTTGTTACAATGTACTAGTAAGTGTATCCTCAGGATTCAGGAGTGCTGATTAGGACAGGTGTTCTTTATTAACTAACTCCTATATAAGACAGCACTTTTGTTTTTTTCTTTGTTATGACCAAGCATGAGATCATGTGAAATGCATTAACAGGTCCTGTATTCATGTCCTGGTGTTTTGTGTGTCCTATGGATCAATAAATATACACTATATTCATCAATCCTCCGGTGTGCGGCTGACCCTTTTTCCTGTTACACCCCCCCATGTTGAGGGCATGTGGACTGGTATGGTTCAGGTTGGGCCACTCTCTTCCCCCCCCCCTTTTCTGACCTGCCAGGCTGCATTGTTCAGATAAGGGTCTGGTATGGATTTTGGGGAAGACCCCAATAAAATTTGTTTTCAATTTTGGCACGGGGGTTCCCCTCAAAATCCACACCAGACCCGAAGGGCTTGGTATGGATGGGAGGGGGGACCCCACACTTTTTTTTTTTTTAATGTAATTGTTGGGCAATGCCAACAATTCTTTTCACATTCAGCTGTCAGTGGGGAACCCCTTTGACAGCTGAAACATGAATGAATGTTTCACTACTAAAATACCTCATGACTTAATATCACTCATGCGGTATTTTAGCAACTGAGCAGTATCTTAAACACATACTCATGTGTGGTAAGATACCGCTCAGTTCAGTTCCTGTACGAAGTTCATGGTCAAACATTCTGTAGGTTTGGATGTTCGCCCGTGAACTGAACAGGGGGATGTTTCGCCCATCACTAATAATGAATAAAAACCTATGATAAGTATTGTCTCCAGGGTGTCCTCTACATCCATGGAAACCTCTTATCCTAGTATCCAACCACTATGGCAGTTGCAGCTCCACAACTTCATTCTTCCAAAGTCAATACCCATTATGATAAGCAGTGCTGTTTGCCACCTTTATCTCAATATCGCTCTCCAACCTGTTCCAACCCATCGTCTAGTTTACAATTTCCCCTTCAATATCCATTTAAAATTATTTCAGCAGCATCCTTTTCCAGGGTGCAAAGCCCACCTAATGCACATCAACCTTAAATAGACTCCATGGCACTGAACACATCCTCTAAGCCCACTAAGATGTCCAAATACTTATCCAGGCTTTCCTGAAGAATTGTCAGTGCAGTCTCAATCACTGCTATTGTCAATATAATGTCACAATCTGGCATTCTCTCCTAATCTCACTTGTGTGCATTTCTTAGCCAGTCCTTGCTCAGTGTCTGGCCACGTAAAAGTTGAAAATTACTTTGGAGTCATAATAAGCATTTGCCAACCTGTAAACATTAGAATCTTTAGCAAACTTTAAAAAGTTCTAGTTGTTTTAAAGAATTGTTGTGAAGCACATCCATTCTTTAGCCCATTCCTGCCCAGGAGGTAGTAACCAGGTCCTAACAGAGTATCATGGGCATAGGACCCACCAGGGGAGCTATTCTCCTCTTGCCTGTATGGGGGGGATGCCAGCAGGGTGCCACAATCTGGCTTGACTGGTACCTGTAGAAAATCCTTTGCACACCTGCTTCAGGTCTTACACCAATGAAAACTGCTTTGCTTTTTGGACACAAATTCTGTTTCCAGGAGATGTTCCCATATAGAGGTTAGGTGAAGGAGGAGTCAACACCTGCACTGCCTTTTACAGTTTGCTGAATAAATAGAAGTGTAGATTTTTACATACATCAGCCATCCCATGAAGTTGGCGGTACTCAGGTTAAGTCCTAAGCAGTCCAGCATAGTTCAGGGAGATGTGGCAATGACAAGAGAGAAGAGGGGTCTGCTTCTCACAGGAGAGATGTCCCAGACTCCCAGTACCAAAGAAGACGGATGTGAACAGTCCCATAAATGTCCCTCCACAGCTCCAGGCTCCGCTTCTAAGGAAGAACTAAACAAAGATGGTCCAACTGCCTACATTTTGAACTGGACAGATTCACCACACAAAGAAAACCAGTAATTGCTTCCTTCATGGCAACTAACTCAGGAAGGTCTTTGCCTTCCTAATATACCCTTACTCAGAGTGCCTGTCTCCTAGCAGGGGCAGGGCTGGTACTTAACCCAATCCCAAACTAAATCTTGCTCTCAAACTATGGGGACACCTATTGTCCAACCAGGGGAACTACAAACAGACCACATCTCTACCTTACTTTACAGAGCGATTGTACTGTTCAGAGCAATCTGTGCTATGTAGATATCTGAGTCTGCAACTGCTGATGTGACAGTAATTTTTGTGTGACACCCTTATTAGTTTAGAGTCATGAAAGCATGCACACGTATGCAAAAACATATAAAACAATGTGCAAATGTTAGTCATTTGTAGTGGCACAACACATGACCAGCTATAAAAAAAGTATGCTTTACTATGAGAAAGGCTTGTGCTGAACCACTTTTTCAGCTGGGACTTGGTTTATTACCTAGTTTTGAAAAAAAAAAAAAAAAAATCTTTGTTGAAAGTGTACTTATTTGATCGAACCTTTGTCTGACTTCTATTGTGGCGTATGTCTTCATTATGAACAAATGATCTGTGTTTGTCAGTACTGTGAAAGTTACCGTATTTTTCACTCCATAAGACGCACCTAGGTTTTAGAGGTGAAAAACAAGAAAAAAAAATATTCTGAACCAATGGACTGCAGACACAGTACAGGGGATGACCAGAGACTGCGGACACGGTACAGGAGATGACCAGAGACTGCGGACACGGTACAGGAGATGACCAGAGACTGCGGACACGGTACAGGAGATGACCAGAGACTGCGGACACGGTACAGGAGATGACCAGAGACTGCGGACACGGTACAGGAGATGACCAGAGACTGCGGACACGGTACAGGAGATGACCAGAGACTGCGGACACGGTGCAGGAGATGACCAGAGACTGCGGACACGGTACAGGAGATGACCAGAGACTGCGGACACGGTGCAGGAGATGACCAGAGACTGCGGACACGGTGCAGGAGATGACCAGAGACTGCGGACACGGTGCAGGAGATAACCAGAGACTGCGGACAGAGTACAGGAGATGACCAGAGACTGCGGACACAGCGCAGGAGATGACCAGAGACTGCGGACACAGCGCAGGAGATGACCAGAGACTGCGGACACAGCGCAGGGGATGACCAGAGACTGCGGACACAGCGCAGGGGATGACCAGAGACTGCGGACACAGCGCAGGGGATGACCAGAGACTGCGGACACAGCGCAGGGGATGACCAGAGACTGCGGACACAGCGCAGGGGATGACCAGAGACTGCGGACACAGCGCAGGGGATGACCAGAGACTGCGGACACAGTACAAGGGATGACCAGAGACTGTGGACAGTACAGGGAATGACCAGAGACTGCAGACACAGTACAGGAGATGACCAGAGACTGCGGACATAGTACAGGGAATGACCAGAGACTGCAGACAGTGCAGGGAATGACCAGAGACTGCAGACAGTGCAGGGAATGACCAGAGACTGTAGACAGTGCAGGGAATGACCAGAGACTGCTGACCTTTGGGGAGGGAGGGGGAGCGGGTACCTCCCCCTCCGCTCCCACTTCCGCGGAGTTGTCCTTCCCTCTTCTTCCCGGGCCGGCTTCTGTGACAGCCGGGTGCCCACTGCGCATGTGAGAGAAGCGCTGTGCTTTGTGAATGGCCCGGCGCCTTCTGGGACCTTTCATGTGTCCCAGAAGACACCGGATCATTCACAAAGCGCAGCACATGCGCAGTGGGCACCCGGCTGTCACAGAAGCCAGTGCGGGAAGACTGTGCAGCGCTGGAGCGAGGAACAGGTAAGGCCCTGCAGGAGACAACAGCTGAGCGGCCGGCCCAGTATTCTGACATAGTGGCCGCAAAAATACCGGACCGGCCGCTTTATATTCGCTCCATAAGACGCACTGACATTTCCCCCCCTTTTTTTGGGGGAAAAAAGTGCGTCTTATGGAGCGAAAAATACGGTAATTAAAATTTCTCAAATGTTCCATTGTTAACATTTTAGTTGAAATTTTCTGTGGATTTTCCTGACTTTCCTGTCTAAGGTACACAGATGCCTAAGCAGAACACGTCCATGTAAATTTCAACTAATCAAAGTTTTGTATAAAAAATGTGTTAAAATTGAGACATTGTCAGACCCTAAACAAATTCCAATACATGCACATTTTCCTATATTTTAGTCCTTTACAAATGTTTCAAGTAAATAAAAATGCTTGAAACCTAGTGACCTCCAAGGTTTATGTACAGTCAGGTCCATAAATATTGGGACACCGACACAATTCTAACATTTGTGGCTCTATACACCACCACAATGGATTTGAAATGAAACAAACAAGATGTGCTTTAACTGCAGACTGTCACCTTTAATTTGAGGGTATTTACATCCAAATCAGGTGAATGGTGTAGGAATTACAACAGTTTGCATATATGCCTCCCACTTGTTAAGGGACCAAAAGTAATGGGACAGAATAGTAATCATAAATCAAACTCACTTTTTAATACTTGTTGCAAATCCTTTGCAGTCAATTACAGCCTGAAGTCTGGAACGCATAGACATCACCAGACGCTGGGTTTCATCCCTGGTGATGCTCTGCCACGCCTCTACTGCAACTGTCTTCAGTTCCTGCTTGTTCTTGGGACATTTTCCCTTCAGTTTTGTCTTCAGCAAGGGAAATGCATGCTCAATCGGATTCAGGTCACGTGATTGACCCTTACTTGTGATTGACTTGGCCATTGCATAACATTCCACTTCTTTCCCTTAAAAAACTCTTTGGTTGCTTTTGCAGTATGCTTTGGGTCATTGTCCATCTGCACTGTGAAGCGGCGTCCAATGAGTTCTGAAGCATTTGGCTGAATATGAGCAGATAATATTGCCCGAAACACTTCAGAATTCATCGTGCTGCTTTTGTCTGCAGTCACATCATCAATAAATACAAGAGAACCAGTTCCATTGGCAGCCATACATGCCCACGCCATGACACTACCACCACCATGCTTCACTGATGAGGTGATATGCTTAGGATCATGAGCAGTTCCTTTCCTTCTCCATACTCTTCTCTTCCCATCACTCTGGTACAAGTTGATCTTGGTCTCATCTGTCCACAGGATGTTGTTCCAGAACTGTGCAATTTTTTTAATGTCGTTTGGCAAACTCTAATCTGGCCTTCCTGTTTTTGAGGCTCACCAATGGTTTACATCTTGTGGTGAACCCTCTGTATTCACTCTGGTGAAGTCTTCTCTTGATTGTTGACTTTGACACACATACACCTACCTCCTGGAGAGTGTTCTTGATCTGGCCAACTGTTGTGAAGGGTGTTTTCTTCACCAGGGAAAGAATTCTTGGGTCATCCACCACAGTTGTTTTCCGTGGTCTTCCGGTCTTTTGGTGTTGCTGAGCTCACCGGTACGTTCCTTCTTTTTAAAGAATTTTCCAAACAGTTGCTTTGGCCACGTCTAATGTTTTTGCTCTCACTCTGATGGGTTTGTTTTGTTTTTTGTTTTTTCAGCCTAATGATTGCTTGCTTCACTTATAGTGACAGCTCTTTGGATCTTATCTTGAGAGTTGACAGCAACAGATTCCAAATGCAAATAGCACACTTGAAATGAACTCTGGACCTTTTATCTGCTCATAGTAATTGGGATAATAAGGGAATAACACACACCTGGCCATGGAACAGCTGAGAAGCCAATTGTCCCATTAATTTTGGTCCCTTAACAAGTGGGAGGCACATATGCAAACTGTTGTAATTCCAACACCGTTCACCTGATTTGGATGTAAATATCCTCAAATTAAAGCTGACAGTCTGCAGTTAAAGCACATCTTGTTCGTTTCATTTCAAATCCATTGTGGTGATGTATAGAGCCAAAAATGTTAGAATTGTGTCGATGTCCCAATATTTATGGACCTGACTGTAGTTTTGACCTGCATTGTCTGGTGAAATAATATTACTGATAAGCAAATAAACCTGTAAAAACACAATGAAACCATAAATATCAGCTCAAGAAAGATCTAGTGATTTAAATAATTTGTGTCTTTCATGGACCAAAAAGGCAATGACACATTAAAAGGCAATTGTTTAAGGAGTGATCACATGTGTTTAAGGGACCACATGCAACCATTAATTACTGAAACAAACAATGGTGCACTAATATGCTTGACATTTACCAGAGAACAACACCTGCTTTTGGCATAAAGCAGTTGGAAAACTGTTCAAGAATGTGTACAGTTCATGATGCAAGATGTGTTGCAATCCTGGAAAGATTATCCATGGGGTTTTAAGTGTTTCGCTAAGATAATGTCATAACGGTGTTTCACGTAATTGTGTATCACACAACAAGCCTTCACTACAACACAAACATGTTCAAACTGTAGTATTTATTAGCAAGTATTCCAAAAATACACGTTTCCCACTATGACATGCCCATGATAGTTTGTAATTAAAGCGGAGCTTTATTCTCTGAATCAGCTTGAACAATTTTTAATCCTTGTGCTATTAACTTTAGTAAATTGATAGGAAGGTATACAGTAATATGATAATGGTTTTAAACTCTTTTTTTTACATTTTTCATTTGCATCCTGGTTGCAGGCCTAGGCCAAAATTATCCACTTGAAGACCAAGCCTTTTGGGGCACTTTTTGTTTACAAGTAAAACAAAATCAGTTTTTTGCTAAAAAATTACTTAGAACCCCCAAACATATTTTTTTTAAGGTGGAGGCCCTAGAGAACATAATGGTGGGTTTAGCAATTTTTTTATGTCACCTGATATTTGTGCAGTGGGTTTTCAAACGCAATTGTTTTTGGAGAAAAAAATACACTTTTTTGAATTTGAATGCACAAAAACACAATATATTACCCAACTGTTTGATAAAATATAAAAGATGATGTTATGCTGAGTAAATATATACCAAACATGTCACGCAAAACATGACATGCAACACGACAAACAACGTAAATTTTGTTATCCATAAGCGACACTTTAAAAGCCTTTACAGATTACCATGTTAGATTTACACAGGGGGTTTACTTCTCTCAATCTGACTTTGATAGTGATACCTCAAATGTGTGGGGGCAAGGTGCTTTGTGGGAGGGGAGAGCCCCCCTAGTCCAAAGCACCTGCCTGATATGGTTTAGGAGGGGGGGGGCGAGTGAGCCCCTTACTGGCCTGCCAGGCTGCATGCTCAGATAAGGGTCTTGTAAGGATTTGGGAGAGGGTCCACGTCACTTTTCAAAACATTTTGGTGTGGGGTTTCCCTTAAAATCCATACCAGACCTGAGGGGCCTGCTCCTTGGCAACCAGCTCCTAAGACATTTTTTCGAAAAAAGCTCCTAAACACTGCAAAACCGCTGTCAAAAACCACTAATATTAGCATTTGTATCCAGCTTTCCAGCTGCTAGTGTGCACAAAGCCTTGCCCCATCCATGGGTTAGGGGGCGCAAACTAATTGCCTTGCCCCAGGCGCTGACAACCCACACTATGCCACTGGTGAAAGGTCCTCTGCCTTTAAAAGCTTTGGATCATACGAAGACCTGTATGATCCAATGCTTTTTTCAAACCCCTAAGGGTTTGTTTACACCTGCAAAACCTGAAGTGATGAAATCGCTTCTGGTTTCCTATACCATAGAGATGATCAGAGCTGTTTCAGTCTCTGATTACCTCTATGGTCAGCTGGTGGAACCGCCAGCTGAATGCTCAGGTCTCCTGGTGAGACAGAAGAGACCAAGAGAGATGCAGAAGGTTGTGGAAGGGGGGTATGTCTCCTCTTGCTGTTTGTAAAAGCATTCCAGAAGCTAATTAGCCACTACGATTGCGAAAGCAGACTGCCGGCTGAGAAAAAACAATACTGAGATGATGCCTGCAGCTGCAGCTGCAGGCATCATCCCAGTACACCTACTTTATGTCCAGCAATGTACCAGTATATCAGCGTACATTTTATTGGCTAAAAAACACATCTAAAAGTTTTTGAATTTATCTACAATCCCCGCTGACACTACCAACTGTGGAAGGGAGTGCCAGATCCTTACCGCTCTAATAGTAAAGAACTCCTTATGCAGTTTAAGATTGAACTGCTTCTCATCCAACCTCATTGTGTGGCCTTGTGTCTTCTTTAGAGACCTAAGAATAAACTATTTCTCCCAATGCTAGAGTCACCATTTAAAGATTTGAATATTGCTTTCATATTCCCTCTTAAGCACTTCTTCTCTAGGGAAAAAACATTTAATGTTTGTAGTATTTCCTCATAACTGAGGTCCTTCAGCTCCCTTATTAGCTTTCTTTCCTTTCTCTGGACTCTCTCTAGTTCAAGCATAACCCTCCTGAGGACTGGTGACCAAAACTGGATGCCATACTCAAGATGTGGCCTAACCACTGTTTTATCAAGTGGTAGAATTATTGTTTTTTCTCTTGTGTAAATACCTTTTTTTAATGCATGCTAATAGTCTGCTGGTTTTGATTTCTGAAGCTTGGCATTGCATGCTATTGCTGAGTCTGTGATCTACAAGGACCCCAAGATCATTTTCTAT